TAATTATTATTGTAGTTTTCCCTGATTTTCAAATAATTATGAATATTTCTCAAGAAAACATATTGATAAACTTACCATTTTTGGCAGCAACATTTAGTTTCTTTGGCGATTTTTTAAATCGCACATATTCAAAAATAAATCCTAATATATTCATTATTTTTCAAGACAAGTTTTTGTATTTTTAACTTTTGATAATATAATCAATATTCTGCTGTAATTACATGATAAAAATCAGTCGCTTGCTAAATAAATTGTGATAGAAGAACGCTAGATAACGATAAGAATATGCATTTATTGAGGTGATCTCATAATTGATTACATCGCAATCAATTGATAAAGTTCTAAAATTGTGAAGAGAACAGAGAATAATTGCATTAAAATTCTGTTCCAAAAATCAACTGACATTCGTACTGTAAAATGTTCTTCAGTATATTATCGTACTTTTAAATATTCTGCAATAAAGGCTTTGATCGCAGAAATTGTTTAGATTCTGGGGATGGCTCTATCATAGAATTAGATGATTTCATATTAATAAATACTGGTCAGATCATATAATATGATGATAGAGTTAGTAATATGAATCATATTACTAACTCACTATCGCCAAAATTAACAACACATTGCCTATTTTTTCTCAAAATATTTTTCTAATTCATAATGAATTTAAACCGTTTGCTTTCACTCAGTTACTATGGAGTTTCTTGTGCCTTAGAGCTTTTGCTACCAATCTGAAGTTTAAAATTCAATAACAGCCTCGGGCAACCAGATATCAAATACTAGTAAAATTTGTTTTTATTTGAGTATTACAATTAAAAAGGCGATCGTTGGGTTACCTTCTAAAATTATTAAAAAATAAATAAAAACTATATTTTAGTTTGTTAGTCTAAAAATGGAGTGTCTTCTGATAGCGTTGTTACTAATTGCTGGGAACAAACATCGTTCAAAATAGCTCATTAAAACATAAAATTTCTGATTGTTATTACAAAAGAAAAATATGTTTATTATGACAATATTTATTCTCTCATGGCCTTATCCAATTCTCTAACATTTTCATCTATGTTATTCTAGTAAATATACTCTAGCTTTTTCAGAAAAGGGCAACGCTTAGAATATTTATTATGTACAATAGAGATTGTTGCTAAACTTTTTTTATTTATTCGAGATTTTTCATGTATTATTTGCTGACTGCTAACTTGGATTCGCTTGCTTCTGTTAATACTATATATGACTTGATATAATTTTACTTTTGCTAATAAAATGAATAAATATGTAAAAGCTTGGCAAGAGCCTGAAATTATATTTATATTTTTATTTTTGCTGCATTTGTTATAGTTTTAGAATTACTTAAGGCTGATTATTTGCATTGCTTTAATCGAGAGGACGCAAACCGTCTTTGTATTTGTTTTATCTATTAGGATATAATTATTAATAAGAATTGCAAGAAATTATTTAACGAAATATTAAATTAAAATCTTCCCTATTTTATGATAGTATAATAAAGGGATACATCATAACCTTTAATATTGACAGACTATATATATTTATAGACATATGAATCATCCATTTATAAGTCTAAAAACTTACTATCAAACAATTGTAGTGCTCTCTTATTATCATTAAATCTAACTTCTATTATCTAAATATATCATCAATCTAACTATTCAAATACACAATTAAATATTAATTTTTCCTATCGTCTGATGTACCTAGAGTTATATTTAGTTGTTCGTTACAATTGCGATCGAGTAAATTATTGGGCGGCATTCAATTGCATAAATGAAATCGGTTATCAGGATATTTTAGTTCAAAGTTTTTTTTAGTAATTTATTGAAAATTATGTAAAATGCTAGTCATGAGTGTCTTAACTCATATAAGCTCAAAGCGTTACATTAATAAGTAAAAATTAAAACTGATTCGTTATAATAAGTAATTAGAAATGCTTATATTATAAGTAAGAATTGAAATGTTTATAAACTTATTTTAAATTCATACGTTTTGTTCTAACATTTCTAGCCTTTATTTGATGGAAAATCAAAATATTTAAGTAATTAAAATAACTAATCTAGAAGAACACTTACAGTTTCATATATTTTTATTATAAACAATATCAACACCGATATTCCCTGGTATGAGAAAGTGCACTATTCCAGTATATTTTATGACATTACAAACAACGTCAAAATAAACAGGAATTACAATTATTAAAAAATCGCAAATTCGTAGTGTCTGCTTTGCGTCTATGATGGAGTAACACATTTTTTCTTAAAAAATATTTGTTATATAAGGTTGACAAATGTAAAAATAATGTATTTAGTATTTTGTTATTGCTTCATAAAGTTTGAAATACTATCTAAAAATCATGTGTTTCACCCATCGCTGTCTTGTCATTTTGTTTATTTATACATTTATAATATAGATAATAAAATAAAATAAAATAAGCAGATATAATAAAGTTTATGGAATGGAAATGTTCAATGGTAAACAATGAAGGGTTAAAAAATCATTTGGATTCCTGGATTTGTGTTGGCCTTTACACCATGGATCCTTTGGGCAAACTATATATATATATATATATATATATATATATATATATATTTATATATTAAGTTAGTCCTTAATATGGACATTTTTGAATTTCCTTGCTTCCAAGGGCTCAAATGGTTCCAAATTGATAAAGAACAATTCTCTGAAAGTTTTAGCTCTTAATATCAACTTTTAGATAGTGCACAATTCAATAAAACTTCGTAATGAATAGCAAATTTGAAAATTAAAAAAAAAAAATTTCGGTATAACTTAGCGACAAATGAATTAAAAGTGAAAATTTGTGTCATTTTTATTGAAAATTCGACGCTCTGTAAAATTTTTGTTTTTTTTTTTCATGCTATTTTCATACAAATCTTTGATTGCATTGCGCTCTATTTAAAAAACAATATTAAGAGCTAAAACTTTCAGAGAATTGTTTTTTATCAATTTGGAACCATTTGAGCCCTTGGGAGCAAGGAAATTCGAAAATGTCTATATTAAAGACCACCCTAATATATATATATATATATATATATATATGTATATATATATATATATATATATATAAATTAGTGTGTGTTCAGGGAATTAAATGAAAATCTCTCTTATGTACGGTATATTCGCGCGTCTAGTGTTGCTCAATTACTTTGATGCAGTTGCCTATTGCGTCGATTATGGAAAGTGGTCTGATTCTAATTCAATGCTCTCTAGTGCGAGTAATGCAGTATAAGTATGAGTTTTCAAGAATAGAACAAAATACAGAACATCATAAGCCAGACGTACTTATTTGCTTTGTAAAAGGAAAGTTAGAATTCGTTCCAAATGTTGTTGTAAGCAATCATATATACAGTAAGAAATAGTCTTAAATAAAAAAGAAATAGTCTTAGTAAAAAATTTTATCTAATATCATTCGTAGTGTAATGATAATCTTTAGATTTGAAGATAAATTGGTTATATAAAATTCTCTCAACCAAACTTAGTTGATCGAAGCAATTGGACTAAATTATGAATTCTAAGTATTCATTGCCAAAATAGTTTCGCTTTTTTTCATTTACATTTGTGAATTATAACCTGTCGTTCTTATACAACATTCAGTAATTTTGATGGTTTATTAAATAAAGGAAAAAGGTCAAAAGGTCACCCATTGGTGATCCGATTCGATGTTGGAAAAATAGTTTCGTTACCATCTTTTAAAACCAATTTTTATGCGAGTGTAGATTACATCATTGTAGTATTATAAAATGAACATTTATTAATATAATTTAAAAAAAAAAGATAAGTTCGTTTTCCCATTATAAAAATAAACTAAACATTATCCTTAATATGTATAACAAACATATTTAAGTAATTCTTTTTATTATTAATATAAAAATTTAACAAAATCTAAATCTTTATTTTAAATTTTTATATTTGTGGAGATAAATAAACTTCGAGTAATTTATTGTTATAATATAATTATGTTTCATTTTATAAAATATTACGCATTCTGCAAAATTTTAATGAACCTACTTGCTAGGAAAAGCTTTCTATGAATTTTTAATCAGTAGAAAACATATGTTTGAAGTAAGTACGATTAATTTATTTCTTTTAACATATTTATATGTATTATAATTCTATTTGCCTGTCATAAAGAGCATTATAATTCATTCTTACACTGAATTTGTTGAACAATAGTAATTAAATATATGTATATTTTATAAACACTAAACGTTTTTAATAGAAATTTCTAATAGAATATATTTTTATAATTGAAATAAAAATAATCGGCCCATAATATAATTAGTCAGGATTATATTGCGAAATTTTAAGTCTGAAAAATTATATCAATTATTAAAATATTAAAGATCTTCAATGCGTATGTTATGAAACTTGTGATAGTATTTCATAAATTGTAACGAATATATAGAAAATTACAAGAAATATTAAAATAATCAATAAGATTAATTATATCATAGAGATTAGAAATAGATTTCAATAATAAACACTTAATTCAATGAAGTAATGAAGATATTTTTCTCATGCCATTATATATGCTAGTAATTAACGAGAAAAATTTTCTGCATTACAACTTTGTTTACAAATGACATTTTTAAAATTTGCAAACGTTTATACGTGCATAATATATATGTTTCTGCTTCTATAGTTTTCACTTAAATTTTTCTTTAAATGTTGGTTATTAAAAATAAATATATTGTTTGCAAAAATTATTTCGTAGTCACAAAATTTCATCTGATTATTTGGCTTTGTTATTGTACAAGAATTTATTCGCTCGACGTTTTGATTTTTTTCTTCTAATTCTTTTGGCCCTAAAATTAGTAAAGTTGTAGGACGTTGTGTGCTTACTATTACTTTACTAAGGGATTTCGATTTCGTAAACTATTAACGGTTTTCTAAGAAATGATGGTTAAGATTTACAGTTAAAAAATCCTTTTGTTTTATTCTATTAAATTTAAATTTATCTATTTGATCTTTTTCAGTACTGCAATGGGGGTGATCTAGCTGACTATCTCAGTGCTAAAGGCACCTTAAGCGAAGATACAATTAGACTTTTTCTTTGCCAATTAGGTAAGAAATAGTTATTATTTCAAAGTTTATTAAAAAAATTAAAAAAATATTATTTGTTTGAGCATATATTGTTTTCAAGATAGTTTATATAATATTTTACTTCAAATATATTATATACTATATACTTTATAAAGTTTTTTTTGTATAAGAAGCAATTATTATTAGTGTTTTTATAAAAATTGTAAAGAGATTAATATTTCGACGAAGCAATATTCAGAAAGCAGAATTCTTAACACTTGTTTTTTAAAATTTCAAATTAAAATTAATATGTAAATTTGGAATATTATCAATTAAAGATAGTTTTGCATATTAACTACGAATTATAGAAAAAGGAAATGTTTTAAAGGTATCTCAGCACGTTTGATATTTTTTTAATAGAATTTCACCAGTAAAATTTATTTTATCACATTGGAATCGACTTTGAAATTTGAATAGTTGATAGCAATGCTTTCATGGAATTAATTACTGCAATATAATATATAATGTATATTTTTAGACGAACGATTAATTATATGAATATACACATTTTCGATTTATTTTAAAGTTTTAAGACATTTTGATTATTTTGAATTATCTTACTATTATTAATTAAAAATTGATATTGATATAATTGATATATTGTTTTTGAAAAATAGGTATTAATTTAAGTTTGGATATAAATTTTCTATCACGTTTTTAAATGAACTGATTAATCTCTTGATAATTCAATTGTAAATAAAAATAATTTAATTCTATTGAAGGTGGAAAGACATTTGCGAAATTTATATCCAGCTCTTTCGCATATATGGAGGAAAAAGATACCTTTGGTGGTCAAGAATCATTGTTTGACTAAGAATATCAAATTATCTTGGGTGTTTTAACCATATATATTTTTTAAGTTCTGCAACAAATTTCCGTGATAATTGCATAATTTAACCAGAGTTTTAATTTTTTTCTGACATTCATACCAGCATTTTATTTTATGTGAAGTTAATAATCGATAGGTTTGGTGTATTATATTCACCTAAAGACACAATGCAAAACACCACCAATTGAAAATTAATGTAGAAGAAATTTATTCATGCTTTATTATCAAACATTGTTTGGCCTGTGGCTCTTATACTTTTTGCATTCATTACTAATTCATACACACAGCATTGAACTGACTTTGTATATTGTAAATGTATTCAATGCCAAATGCTATTAAGCAATAGACAAACGATTATTATCAAAATGACACGTGGCAATTTGATTTCAGCGGGCGCGATGCGAGCTCTGCATGCCAAAGGCATCGTACATCGTGACCTGAAGCCGCAGAATATCCTACTGGCACATACCGGCAGCCGCGGGCGCACCAGGCCCGAAAACATCACACTCAAAATTGGTGAGCAATGAGGAATACTTCTCAAATGTAGAGTTTATTAAAATACATTTAAGGAAAGTTGCAAAATATTTGTATATAATCGACTTAATCAATATGATTTTAAGTTCAGCATCATTTCAATTTAGACCAGGGTTTCTTAAACTTTTGTCCTCTGCGACCCCATTTACGATTGCGAATTTTTTCGCGACCCCACTTATGATTGCGAGTTTCTCATTGTTCCACATATATAAAACAATAAATTAATATTTTTAAATGATTTATTTACTTGGTAACAATATACATATATACATATACATATACATATGCAAATATATAATTTAAGAATTCGTTGAGAACATAAAAAACTAGTTGGTATTGGTATTTTGCCTTGAGGCAAGTTACATGAACTTCCCGAAATGTGTAAATAATCAACTTAATAAATAAAAAATAAATTAATTTTTGAGTGATTAAAAGTATTCCGAGTGGATTTATTACACATCATTGCAAACGAACGAACGAACACGTTAACTCGGAGTATTTTCTAAAAGCAAATTTTCAGAAATCAATAATTTTTATAATTGAACCAGTTTTTGTAGGGCTTTAATGGTTTTCTATGTTCATCAAGACCAAGTACTCTATCGTTATACTAAGTAAATCCTATAATTTTAATTTTAACATACTTCAAAAAAACTACTCATTTTCTCACACTTTGATAAATTTTTAAAATTAAACTACTTGTCGTAAGGCCGTAATATTTTAGCAAGTTCTATAAGACCATGATATATATTGCTAAAAAAAGTTCCATAAAAATTGGCTTAATTTCTTTTTTCAACAGTTAATTACAAGAAAACGGCTCGGTAGATTTTAAACCTAAAACTAATCAGTATCATTCCCAACTAATATCTTTCGAACAGTTTTTGATATTTTAAAATCGATTCGGTAGTATGAGCTTAAATGTGGACGAAAAATTTAACACTTTTTCTCAAATTACAAAGAAACGGCTCAGCAGATCGTCTCACAAAACTGACAAGCGATAGTCCCCATTGAGATACATCAAATGGCTTTTAAATTTTTGAAATCGGTCCAGCCGTTTTGGAGAAAACGTCGATTTACGGCAAAAAATCTGTTCACACAAATACACACACACACACATACTTTTTCAAAATTTGGTCTCATTCGATGGCTTGAAATGTCGAGAAAACATAAAATTAGCGAGTTGGATTTTTTGATGAAAACATAAACTTCTCCTTCGGGAAGTTAACAAGGAGTGATGTTATAAAATAATATAAATATATGACAATAAAATTTCTTAAAATATGGGTCGGGACCCATAGTTAAAGAGCCGTGATTTAGACGATAGATTTTTTAAATTTCTTCGTTTCAAACTTTTATGGAAATTTAGAACTACTGTTTGTAGGCTTTTACCGGCTTTTATGTTTAAACCTTGTTGCCACTCTAAATACTCTATTTTTTTATTTTTTTATAGACATTTGCTTTTGATTATTTATGTTATTTATGCTAACCCAAAAAAATAAAATTCCTGTTTGGATAAATAAGTTAGAATAGAGACAATTTTATCTTGCTTTCGGTGTATAGCGATATATAAGCAAATATATATTCAATCTTTAGATAAGAAATTACAAAATAAATAAGTAAATAAATGTAATATTTACAATTCTACGTTATACATACTGAGACTTTATTTTGCCATTTATAGTACAATTTTTTTTATAAAAATACTCAAAACACCATTTCGAATACCTTTATTCGCGCAAATACACCAGATTTTTATTTACCAGAGAGCGAAATAATAAAATTATTTTATATATCTGAGTATTTACTAATTGAACTTTTCTAAATATTTTTTGATGCTCTACATTGTCGACTCGATAATGAACTTGAAATAATTAAATATTTCTAAGAGTTAAGTAATAGAGAAGTAAATCTATCACTTTACACTTTATAATACACATATCTTTGAAAACTTTTTACACGAATATTGAGTTTTCTTTTATTACTGAAAAAGGCCATAAAGCTTTATTTAGAGTTCGAATTTTAAATATGGCTTTTTGGCGTAGAATCTTGGTTCTGAACACAAGCTATCGAACAACCTACTTTAATTACTATTACTTACTAAATTTAAAGTTACTAATAATCAGTAAATATTAATTACTATTTATGAATAAATACCTTCTTACTATTATTGATCTAGTTTGAACGCAGTTTCAGTTCTAGTATTAGGAACAAAGGAAATGTATTAATAACAGCAAATAAACGATTTTAATTTAATATATCTTGATTGTTAATATGATATCTAATTAAGGATAAATAAAATTTTAAGTTTATAGCATTTTTATAATGAATCATATTAATGAAAGTTACTTATTAATTTACAGCCGACTTCGGTTTCGCACGTTTTCTTCAAGATGGTGTTATGGCAGCTACTCTTTGCGGTTCCCCGATGTATATGGTAAGTAGAGTGCATTATTAATATTATATCTAATATGTTAATGTATTACAAATGTTTTGCTTGTCTTATTTTGAGGAATCTAATTATTTTTATAACTTAGGCCCCAGAAGTGATCATGTCCTTACAATATGATGCCAAAGCAGATTTGTGGAGCTTGGGAACAATCGTTTTTCAGTGCTTGACCGGCAAAGCACCGTTTCAGGCACATACACCGCAAGAACTCAAAATGTTTTATGAGAAGAATGCCAATCTTTCACCCAAGTAAGATTTAAAAATATAAAATAAAACATTAGTTTAATTATTTCGGGAGCTAATAAATAATTAATGAACTTGATTTGTTATAATTAATATAGTCCAGAGTAGTGTGAATAGAACTTCAATTTTTGGATATCGAATTTTACATATTTTTAATGCCATCTCGGCCAAATGTAAACTAGTATATATGATTTTTTTAATAGACCTATGAAATATAGGCGTATAAATTATTAATATATACTCCACCGGGGGGCATGATAAGGCAGCTATACTCTCTCTATTCTATTCTACACATGCAAATAATTGTTCCTTCTACTTACAAAATTATGATAAAGGCTCAATTGTTTGGAGATCGTCAATTTTTTATAATTATTTATTATATTATTATTATTATACAAAAATGTATCTTTCTTATTACACAATTATGAATTAAGCTATGGCTCAATTGTTTGGAAATCGTCAATTTTTTACTTTTTCGACCATCTTATTGAAGGTACGCTACAAATTGTTCGGTCACCTGATTGCCTAGTATGCCAAAATTCAGTCCTTGAAATGTAAAGATATAAAAAAGATCATTTGCCAATTTTGCGATTTCATTAACTTACTCTCCGAAAAACTGATAATGATGAGTTTTATATTTCATAACATATTTTATATGAAAAGGAAATATCTTTTATCATTTTATTGTGAAATTACTACAATTATTATTTTTTCAGGATTCCCGTTGGCACTAGTCCCGAATTAAGTGATTTGTTGCGAAGCCTATTAAGACGCAATGCCTGTGATAGAATTTCGTTTGACACTTTTTTCTCGCACAGTTTCTTGCAAAGGCCTGAGCCACAAACTGATCTTCCAGGTAAGCTTTCAATTCGAGATTTAAACTAGCTGTAAGTGGAATTCTGTCTTGAGGCAATTATGGCATCGTGCCTTAAGGCAAATTGCTGGAACTTCCCGTACCGTAACGAAATGTTCGTGGAATACTGAATGTTTTCGAATAGATTATTATAAATATTGTAACATTGTCTAATATTTATAAGAATTATATAAACTGAATTGCAGAGTTGAAATTATTTGTAAAGTATATTAGAACTATAGTCAAAATTAAAAATAAAATCTGAAATATTTTCGATATACAAAAAACTAAACTAAAAAAAAAAAAAAAAATTGGAACAAATTTTTTTTTCCAAAATCAAATTTTTTGTTAAGACAAGCAGAAAGTTCTTTGAATCATTTAAATCGGACGCTTAGTTCTCTCAAAAATTGCCATTTTTTACATATTTAGCTCCGTATCTTCAAAATGACTGGGCCTGCCTTTGCCAAAAACTAATAAACACTTCTCTGAATCGTTACTAATTGAATGTTTTTTAAATCATTCAAATCGGATACTCCGTTCTCTCAAAAATTCGATTTCTATTTTCTGCACTCTTTGCTCCGTATCTCCGAAACGGCTGGACCTGCTTTTGCCAAAAATTAATCAGCTCTTTTCCCTATCAATAGGAATCGAATGTTTTTTGAACCATTCAAATCGGTTGATCCGTACGCCCGAAAACGTGGGCGAAAATTTGTATCCATACATACATACACACACACACACACACACACACACACACACATCCATTTTTTCTGAGGTATGCCAAAACGTTCAGAAACCTTCAAAACGTCGAGAAATGTAAAAATTTTCAATTCCGATTTTCGGCCCATTACAATAACTTACCCTACGGGAAGTTAATAATACAACAATTTATATGTTAAATAAACCGTTTTTTCCAATTTTCATACATATTATTTGGCTTTAATAATAAAAAAAATTATAGGTTTTAAATAATGGTTTTAATTATAGGTTTTGAATAATGTTTTGGAATTTATCTTGCATTTACGGTTCATTAACTAAGTTGACAATGGTAAAGTTATTATTAAAGAATATCCTTGACAGTAATTTATATTTATTATATGTATGTGTAACAAGTGTAACAAAGAGTCATTATCTATTGATGATGTTAACGACATGAATAACATAATTTAGAGAAATTGCATAATAAATATTTTCTCATTTATATTTATAGGAGAACTACCTGCACCATTAGGCACTTTGTGTACACCGCCGAGCGCCACAATTCCTATACCGATCAAAGTTTCGCCTTTGATTCAGGATCAACTCAAAAATGATAATAGTGACAATTCACCAACTGGTAAATTCATCATTTTATTTTGAACAGACTTTTTCGACTATATTTTTTTAAAATCACACCTATTTTTGAATTTATTACATTGAAGACTGGAATTTTTACCGAATTATCAGCATTTGTTTCTAAATGAAATGGTGAACAAAAATTGTTAATTTTTTCAGTAAAACGATAATTTAATAGCGTTTTTTCACTTTATGATAAATTATTCTTCAATGTTCATGGCAATGTTTTTATTTTGATTTTATAAATCAAAACAACGATGTACACTTGTTTTATTTCATGTCACCTCCCGTTGAGAAGTATTACCTAACAAATTGGCATAGTACCAATCTCATGCTACGCTATTTTCATATTATTTGCAGAGATCCAAATGCACTCACGTAGCGATATAGTTTTATTTTCTTAATGTTGTTTTGAACTTTATTATAACAGTTTAAATCGGTTAAATTACGTATGTACATGTGCATAATTTTCTGATCCCGTCCACTGTTAAACCCAAGTTTATTTCATAAAAAAACTATTTTTTTAGGGCATATCAAGTTAATAAATTATGCAATGTATTGGTGATAATGGTTTGTGGTCATTATATTAAATTTTTTGTTTTATTTTATGGTTTAGTCCGTGATTTGAAACATGTGTTTTTGGCGGTATTATTTGATTATTGATGATTGTCATCTCATTATTCATTCTTTTGTATGTTATTTATCAACACTTTTGTTTTTTTATAATATAGAGTATGTAGTTGAACTCTAAGTAGTTTAATTATTGTACGATTTTTGTAAAAAAGATATAAAGTTACCAATTTAATTTCATGGGCAATATACATTCTCATGCAAAAAATTATCAAATTGCTATAACAGAAGTTGCTTAAGTTATAAAATTATCAGCTTATGCTTTGCAATATTTCTTAATATTAATTTTTAGAAATGTTATATTAGAATCGCTCAGTAGCTCTTGAATGTCTTCAATAATACTATTAAATAACTAAAAAAAAATTGTTACTGGTGATGAGTTATAACTCAGAGTCACTCAGAATTTCTTTAAAGTTGCCATTATTTTGATCTGCTCAAAAATATCATAACTGACTGTTTGATATTGAGAATTATGGGTTATTTTTATAACAATAACAAATTTATCTATCAAAAACAAAATATTAAGTGTTCTTGAAACTGTGTACGAATGTTTAGAATATGGGTAACACCGCAACTGCAAAATTGACAATAGAATGTATAGTGTTCGCGAAACTTGTAAATCTTGCCGTACTTTTTGTCGTATAAAAAAATATTTGACTTAAACTTATTTTATTTTGAAGATTCTCGCAACAGTCAGGCAGAAAGTGGTTCCAGCAGCCCAGAAGAAACTGATGATTTTGTTTTGGTTCCCAAAAATTTACCCAGCACCGATGCCCAAATCGATTATTCGGATAGAGTGTAAGAATTATTACTATTTAATCATGATTTTAGTCATCACTACGTTTATCACCAATAATAAGTTATCTGCAACAATAATCGCGTTTCTCTGCTAAATTTAAATGCTCAATAATCGTATAACATTGAATATTTTCTGCAATATTTTGTTATATTATTTTTTTCTTATTACATATCTAAATTATTATCAAGGATGTATTATTGTTTAGGCGATATAGAATGGTGGAACCAAATATCGTCAGTGGAAGTCCACCGCGACCAAGTTCGTTACCTATTTCGGAACCAAGACCTGTGCCGAGTGCTACTAACAGAATGACTTGCCCCAGGAATATAAATCAAGTACAAGATACCAATGTAAGTCATCACTAGAAATTAATAGTATAATTATTTAGTAAAAAATATGCTAAGTTTAGTATTATTCTAAAAGTTTTGAGTTACTCCTAATATTCATTAAATTTGAATTTCTAGACCGTAATTAGTGCAATTCCAAGATCTCAGCCAATCACAATGAAACGTTCTGAACATCGTTCTAGTCAACCTGATATTAGTTCTATATCACCCCCATCGGTAAGCAAATCAATATTTTAATAGACATAGACATAAGTTTTTTGTTTGTTATTTTTCTCAGCTACATATAAACATTTCTCAGGTTTTATATGTATATAAAATATTAATCAAACAGTCAGATAATATTTGAAAACATTTGCAAATATTAATTTATGAATTGAATATAACATCATTCTTACTTAATTTCTGTTATTATAGAAGAAATAATTTAAATAATATTGATAGGTGCAATTTGTGATTGGCACACCTCCTGGTGGCGGTCGAAGGCGATCGACTTCTGGTGGTGCGTTGTCGGAAACGCCACCGCCGACCAATACCTGGCAGGTGACACCTCCAGGAAGCACGGTACACTGGCAAATGTCGCCCAAGATGCCACACCATCCCACCAATACTTCTCCATTGCGTAGGTCAGGTTAGTATCATTTCTGGTTTGTAAAGAGTACCACTATAAAAGCTATACTTTCAACTATTACTTTAATTCTATTCATATTCATTCTATGTTGATGGTTTAAGATGTTTTAAATCCATTTTTATAAAATTATTTTACTATGAAGATGTACTATTATAAAATTTTCCAGGAACAAGCTCTCCAATATTGAGCGCTTTACCAAAGATGTCAGCCCTGGGTAGCCCAGGACTGGACAATAATAATCCACCGCGTTTCGGCATGGGTCCTAGGGCCATTACTCTGCCAGAAACTATGCAGGCTGCTGCACAATGTACTCCTAGTATCCTGGACATTGCAAACCAAGAACCAATAACATTCCTTGCACCAGAATTACCAGAAGAGACTTTATTGGAGGTTTGCTATACAGTTATTTTACTTTGTGTTAACCATATAAATTTTACAGACAAATCCAAATTACAAATGTAAAATAGTGAATATTCTAGTGATCAAATGCAAGAGAACAATATTGTTTCATTGGTATTCATAAATCTATTTGCAATATTTCATGATTTATACATATACAAACATTGAATTTTTATTTATATGTACCCGAAAACTTTGTTTTATTAACTAGTCTGAATTTTATATTTATTACAGAGGGAACACAATGAGACTCTTGCCAAATTGAACTTTGTCTTGGCACTAAGCGATTGTGTATTAGAACTCGCTGCTACTCGTGGAGCACCGTTATCATCGCTATTGGAGCCGTCTCATGTCTCTGGGAGTAATCGGTCACAGCCCGCTGGGGGCAATCGCACTGCCATTGAGGCTCGGCGTTGGGTTGTCGACGAGGCTGGCACTGTCGGCAATTCACAACGGGCGGAACAGCTGGTGCTTTTAATAAGAGCGTTACATCTGCTAAGTTCTGGACTCAACTTGGCTACAAAGCAGTTGAAAGACGGTCAGTTACAACCGTCTGCTACTGTTAAAAACGGTGGGTTGCTATTTATAAACTCATTTCAGTATTTCGACTGAAACTTATACAAGCTTCAATGTATTTTGACTGAAACTTACACAAGCTTCTACGTATTTCGGATAGAGTGTAAAAAATGTTATTGTTTTATTATAAATTTAGTCATCACTTATAAGTTTATCACTAATAATATGTTATCTGTAAAAAATAGTAAACATAATGCCTAAATGCGATTTAAAAACCAAATATATTTTAGCAACGTTTGCTTGGACATTGTTATTAAGCAATATCGATTAAACTTGCTTAACCTCAACCACAATTGTGGTTTAGTTTATAGTATTTAATTTACATTCATAAAGAAGCAGTGCCACATTTTTATTAGTAAAATTTATTTTTACATGAATAAAATATATTTTTCAGTTTTATCTGTGATGAACAATAAGTATAAATCTACACTAGCTGAGTCTAAAAGGCTGAATAACAGTGGTTTATTACAAAAAGCTTCAACAACCAACATTACAGCTGATAAGATTCTCTACAATCATGCTATTGAAATGGTATGTATTTCGTAACTAAATATTGATAAATATTCATTATATTATACTATTTTTTTTTCATTCTAGTGTCAGTCAGCCGCTTTAGATGAACTTTTTGGAAACCCAGAAGAGTGCTTCCAGCGTTATCAAACAGCTCAAATTTTACTGCATAGTCTCTCACAACATGTTAGTCATCAGCAAGACCGAATTCTGTTGACAAAATGTAAGAAAGACTTTACAAATAATTTTTATTGTAAGTTCTAATTAAACATTTCATTTTAGATAAAGATGCGGTTGAAAAACGTTTATACATTCTACAACAAAAAGGGTACATTTATGCAACTGAAGATCTCACATAAATATTTAAGTTGTAAAAATAAGGCTTACTAGAATTCAATTTAATTTTATATTTTACCGATTTTACAAATTATTTTTAGTATCTTTATATTATATAGTTTTTGTTTATTTTTTTATTGATATATTGAAATTTTATATGCAACTATACTTCTGTGTATATACAGATATTATATAAAGCACGTTTTAGGTTTGTTTCGAACATGAATATTCTTGTAATAGAATAATATTAAAAGTAACTGTATATTAGAAAGTATTCTAAAAAGTAAAATACCTAAAATATTGCAATCACAGTAATAAGTATTAGTTGATGTGAATTTTATTACGACAGAAGATTCAATTTTATTAAAGTGATAATTTCATATAATACAAAAAGCTGATTTATTTCTGTGATTTAGGGATATATTTTTAACATTGAATTTGAAAAAGCACCATTGGGCATAAATATATTCCAGAATGCTTTTGTAGAGAGTAGTGCAACAATATAGATTATTAACCAATGTTAATCTATAAATTAATTTATAATTCACTTCTAAATATTCAATATGATGTTCAACTTTTGATAAATTTAATTTAATTTTATAAATATTTCGATTTAATAACTGATTTTGTTTCATAGATCATTAAGAATATAAATATGATATTATATTTAATTTGTGGAGAAAGTTTAGCATGACTAGTTCATTAAAGTGTACTTTGTGAACTCCTTTCCTTTATTAATTGGATGAAATGTCCTGAATATGTTAGGTATATAGTGATTTTAATATATATTGAATGTAAAATGTAATTAATATTTTATGACATTTGAAGTATAAACAGATAATTATTTGACCAGATAATAGTTTGAAACATATTAAATAACAGAATATTTATCTGTGGATTTATCCATTGTTTCAAATTGAATGTGATTATATTTGTATGCATTGGAAACATGTGTTTTAATTATACCAAATACTTAGACAGAATTGTATTGGTGAAAAATAAAATATTATATAATAATAAAGCGCACATGTATTGCATTTCATTAACTTTTCTATTGATTAGCATATATATTAATATGAATTTGATTTCAAATAAGAGCGGCAAATAATGTGATGTCAAATTGATGCAGTCAGGCAATACAGTCATTCATATGTGAAGGTGCGGCCATGTTGCTATTTCATCTCCGATGGCATATAAGAAAACAGTAATGTTTTGTGGGTTATTTTTATAATAACAATTAACTTTAAAAAATTAGTAAACATAATGCCCAAATGCGATTTAAAAACCAGATATATTCCAGCAACGTTTGCTTGGACATTGTTATTAGGCACTACATTCCTATTCTTTTATTATCCGTAAGTCAAAACTGTGTTAATTCTCAAATGTATACGTACAACCGTTGAAGTGTTTCTCAATTCCCTCTTTATTAATAGAAACATTGTGTTTATTTTAATCATGTATATTTTCTTTATATTGATTTCAACTTTCTTTGAATATTTCTTATTTGTGTTGACATAGTGCAAAGTTATCATGTTATTTAATGTCGATTGTTAAGAAGTGAAGTAATAAATGTGTGATAGATGAAGATAAATAATTGTGTCAAAAATTATTTTTAGATGCCAATATTATATTTTTCGACATCCATGGGTTCCAGCATATCAAGGAGTAATAACATTTTTCGTCATAGCAAATTTTACATTAGCTACATTTATGGATCCTGGTGTAATACCAAAAGGTATATGAATAAAAACAAGATTTACATTAGTCAAAATTGATCTTTACAATATTATTAAAATAGTGCATATTGAAAATTGAATTCATAATTAACTATTATTGAAAGAGAGCACATTGAAAGTTGTATTCATAATTAGCTATTTTTGGCATAGTGCATATTGAAAATAGATTTCATACCTTTGTAGATTTTGAAATTTTAATTACCTATACAGAATAAAAAGTTTGTGTTGTGAAATTTCAGCGCCCCCGGATGAGGATCGAGAGGATGATTTTAGAGCTCCTTTATATAAAAATGTAGAAATAAATGGGATAACTGTGCGAATGAAGTGGTGTGTCACTTGTAAATTTTATAGACCCCCTCGTTGTTCACATTGCTCTGTTTGCAATCATTGTATAGAGGTAATTTAAATGTACTTTTATTATAATCATTATTATATGATTTTTGCTAAATAATTGATTATATTTCCAGACTTTTGATCATCATTGCCCTTGGGTAAATAATTGTATAGGACGAAGAAATTATAGATTTTTCTTCTTTTTCTTGATATCACTGTCAATACATATGCTAAGCATATTCTCATTATGTTTGCTATATATTTTACACAATAAGGAAAGACTTACGCAAGTGGAACCTATTGTAGCGTATCCTTTTTAAAACTAATCACACATTATATTTAATTTATTTTCTTATAAGTTTTAATATATTTTCAAATTTAGTATATAGTAAATGATTTGCTTCCTATAGAAACATATGTCACTATAATGTATAATATTTATTGCAAATGTAAGTAATATATTCTTGATTATTTTTTTTTGGGGCTGATTTAATTCCTACAACAAATCTCTCTCCTTTGCAAGTGAAAGATACATGCATTTTTTGTGACACAATAACATTTTACATCATATGATTAATTTTTAATGCTAAAAAGCCTATTTTTTACTATTATTAATACAACAATTCATTAGTTTATCACAAATAATGGACAGCCAATATATTGTTTCTTAACCAATCTTTGTTTAGTATGGTTTTGATGGGCCTAGTTACATTACTAGCCATTCCTGTCTTTGGTTTGTCAGGATTCCACATGGTTTTAGTTAGTCGTGGTAGAACTACAAATGAACAAGTGACGGGAAAGTTCAAAGGAGGCTATAATCCATTTAGTAGAGGCTGTTGGAACAATTGTTGTTATACACAATTTGGGCCTCAATATCCCAGGTATTTGTTATATCTATTTAATACAGCTTTTTTCTTTGAGTCTTAAATTCTTCATATTTTTATACATATCAATAAAATAATAAATAAGTATAGACTTTAGTTCAGATTGAAAATTGCAATTTTTTAAAGCATTTCTTATCAGAAATTTAATTTTCAAAATATTTATTAGTCTGATGAAGCCACAAAAATACATATCAAAACGAGCGGCGCAGCTGGCTGCTAGTGGCGTAGGTAGCGGCGGTCCTGGTTCGGGAGTCGCCACCATTCAGCATCGTGAGGATGATGCGCAGGTAAAGACTTTGACGTATCTGGATAACAACGGTTCTAATCGGACTCAACATACACATTACAATAAGGTGAGTAGTTTTAGAATTCACTGCATGACAGTAGAAAATGTAGAAGTTTTTACAAATCTACACTTGAAAATATTATTTAATGAAAAATAAATCCACAAAATTTATGCATAATGTGCATAATAATCTTAATTTTGAAATTGGATTTTTCATTTATATGTTGATGTTTTTACAAAATATTTTGAATATATTTTAAATTAAACCTTGCTTTAAATATTATAGTTTGTATGTTCTGTTCCTGATTATAATTTATAAATTCAAATTGATAATTTATATTCAATAATATGCATGAAGTTTATAGTTGGACAATGAGTTTTATTGTACATAATATGTGATATAGTTAGTGCTTAATTTTCTGTATTACATGCTTTGAAGTAATGTCTATTTATTTGTTGCATATTTGTAAAGGCTGATAAAATAGCAAAATATTGTTTAAAGTTTAGGTAATCATAACCTTAATCCTAATAAGTTCCTATTCCATGGCTTTCCAGGCGGACAAGGTTTGTTTAGAATAAATTGAATATAAATTGATATACTTTATTATGCGATTATTATGCATAATAATTTACTCCTCAGTATGTATGAAATGTTTTAATACGACTCCGTTTTTCGGTATTTCTTGTGTTATGTTTCGTTATCTCTTGTTTTCAAAAAGTGCATATCGAACAAAACAACAAGCTAAGTCAAGTATTCCATATTCCATTCTTAATTTGAGGCAAATACAATGGAGGTACTAAATGATGCTGTAGAAATATGAATGTTCACATTGTTAAGGATAAATTTGAAGATGTTATTATCAAGTTACTTGCAATCACATGAAACTACTTCTTTTCTTTTAATTAATGATGTAAAATATCTAACAATCTTAATACTTTCTTTATTGTGCTGGGGAGTATGTTGCATAATATTGTAAAAGTGATTGCGTGAATATTAACTATTTTTAATCAGTTAGTGATAATTTAAAAGTGAAGAAAAGATATGATTTTGCAATATTGAATATAAAATGTTAATATAGGAATATCATTGTCAACTTTTGAAAATTAATTACATATATATTATAAGGTTTGTAAATTCGGATATATCACCAGGTAAAACTATTAAGAAATCAAAACTATTGACTTGCACCTTCTACTTCGAGACAACCACTAGTTCAATAAACTGTAGTACTTACAATAAGAAAATTGCATTAATTTTATGAGCATCATGGTTATATACTAGCGGTTAGAACCAAGCTCTTTATGGTCGAAATTTACATATATTTACATAATTTAAAAATTGGGCATGTGCTTATAGATGAGTTGATTGTACGTCTTCTCTAATATTTTTGAAGTGGAAGAAATATTCGAGGATTAATAAAAATGTCTTCTCTCCTTGAATTTTTTAACAAAATTTGGAAACTTATTGATATAAATTTTCTTGAACCTTCTACAAAATAAATTTTTAAAATATCTAAAATATTTCTTGAAGTTAAAGGTCAGATGGCAAATCTAAGTTCTAAATAGGTCTTTCAGATGATAAACTTAATAGAGACTCTGTAAAGTAATGTACTCTTCTGATGTTCTTTTAATGTAATTCTTACAATAAAATCATGAACAAATAATTGGAACTTTCGAGTAGATAACATTTTATATTGGAAATTAGTATTAATGTTCTTTATTTTTGACCTATCGAAATATTTGAAAGAAAGAAGTGGCCTGATGGACCTGTAAAAACTTGCAACGGCCGGATTTTTTCGACATGCGAATAAAATTTTAGCCATTTTCCACGCCGCTAAATGATGTCTTGAAACATTTTTTTTCATTATTTTATTTAGCAATATATATAGTATAACAGATTATGGATTGCTATTGAACTATTGGAAACATGTAGACAAATAGTTTCTTAACTACTTCAGATATTTTTACTTGGTGTTAATAAAAGGATTAGCAAACCCAAAAATATGTAAATATAGATATTAAAATGTGTACGAGGTGCGTTAAAAATATGGTTACAGCAGGTTGCACAAAACTGTACACACATGTTGCATGGCAAAGGCATAAAATCGATAATCGAAATTTTGTTGAAGCTTGATACCATATTTTGTTCTTGCTTTGTATTATAATAATGTAAGTTAAACATCATCGACTTGGACATAAAAACTGCCAAATTTTATTGCAAATTTTAAATAAATTCTGGTTTACAAGATTTCAAGCTTAATTATTTTCTGTATCATTGGTATTCCTATAAACAGCTTCTTATTGTAATACGAAAGACCACGAGTTTTGAGAAGTTTTGATCTTAGTTAATTATTTAATTAAGTCTAATTATGCTTATAAGAAACTTCAGTAATTCTTGTTCCTCATATTTGTGTAACAATAGTGTTCAATATTTTACGGTAAATAACCTCATGCTATTCTTAATAAAATGTAATACTTTTCTCGACAATAAACATTAAACTTAAAATTAAATTTAAAATTTTTAAAATAGTGGAAATTTATTTATAATTGATATTTTTATTTATAATATCGTAGTTATTTCGCGCGATTGCAATAACTAAACATTCGAAACCGTTCGAGATAGTTGACGCATTTAAGTTTATCATAATTTCATTGTTGAAAATTCTTGTATAGCTGTACCGTCATTAAAAAATTTGGAATCAAAAATATTTGGAATTTCGATTTTTCTACTTCCGCAGAAGATTTGATTAACATTAAGCTTTCGCGGCGGATGTTTAATTTTTTTTCGTTATCATTGTTTGTTGAATACACTTAGACACGAGCGACTGGCTTGGTTCGGGAATTTCACTTATCAACATTAAAATATGTTTAACCAAATGCAATCAATCTCAAAAGCCGTGGTCGATCGTCATATCTTATGATTTTGTTATTGGAACATAAAATGGTCAGACTACAGGATCTGGCAGTTGGCAGGATGTCAATGTGTGCGGCATTTTCATCCCTTATCTGGGGTACGTTGCGTCAGGAGAGTCGATCGAGTCCAGCCAGTCTGACGATTCATTCTATACCTGAATTCAAGAATATACTACAAAATATATTGATGAAATTTCCGAGCTATATTATTACAAGATGTCTTCACGAGGAAAATTTGTACTTCGAAGATACGCATATTTAGCATATGTATTATAATTATCTATCATTTATGAAACAGGGTCCTTGCGTTATGTATATAGATTCGTCTAGATAAACGTCACCTTGGGTATATGAATTCGCTATAAAGCCATCCAAAAACATCCATGATGTACCCAATAACTAACGAGGTCGTATCTGATGTGTCGAATCATTTTTACCAGCCAAGAGATCCTTACTCCTATCCATTTACAAGTCCAATGATCCTGCATATATCAGTTGAGTGCATGTGTATTTAATTATATGAAATTTAATGAAACGATCTGTTTTTAGCTTTTAGATAGCCATTAACTTTTTTCTTACTATGAATGTGTAGATGAAGGAAACAGGAGTGGTGTATATATATCTATATATATATATATATATATATATATATATATATATATATATATATGATTTAGTAGTTAACTTTGATGTTGAAATATATGAGTGAGTTCTTGAGGGCGATACATCAAACAAAGAAATTCTTTGTTTGATGTATCGCCCTCAAGAACTCACTCATATATATATATATATATATATATATATATATATATATATATATATATGTATTGTTCGACGTTGAGACATATCTTGAATGTTAATGTTTGCAGCCAATCGTTGAACAAAAGAACAATAAATAATGAACTATTTATTTATACGTTTCAACACAGTATGTGAGTCATTAATCAGCTTTTTTTAAAAAAAAATCAGTATCAGTATAGTATATAACAGAATTTTTACAAAGTTAGCTCTAGGTTCTTTGCTCGTTCATACACATCGATTCCATGCACAGTTCATACAGTCAAACTATCCCGAGAGAAGAAAAATTTAACAAAAACCTTAACGCTGTACACTATACACCTGTTTAACGCTGGTTTAACTTCAAAATTTTTTACTTCATTTTTATGTTTTATTTTCAATTTTGTTAGTTTAAATTTTGCGATTGTTTTTCCTGGTGTAGTATGTATCAGTTTTTTTACTTGTTTAATTATTTTATATTAATATATTTAAATTTAATCTTTGTAAAAATTCTTTTAGATACTGTATAAATTTAGAAAAAAATGCTGAATGATGACACCATACCATGTCGAAATGTATAAATAAATAGTTCATTATTTATTGTTCTTTTATTCGCCGAGTGGCTGCAAACATTAACATTCAATTTATATATATATATATATATATATATATATATATATATATAAAATTGTACATTTGTATATATTTTATGCTGCATGTTGATTTTTTTTTTTTGAGGTAATTCTATTTATCATTTGACCTTTTATCCTATTTCCTACAAAAATATTCGTCACTGTAAATTTTATTACAAAAGCGTCAAATGCAAATTTAAAATTATTTTTAAGCGCAAAATTAGTTTCTATCTAAATAAAGTTTCTAAATTGTTTTTTTTTTTGTCTCAATTGACTTATTATGAAAGTTGTAGATTAATAACTTATTAGATTAAGAATTTTGTCATTATGAATTATATTTCCGTTAGTTATAAATATTCAACAAATAAGAAATATTAATATGTACATTTTTAAGATGGGTTTTTGTATTTGTCCTTTTCTAATTTCTAAATATTCATTCTGCTTCAAATTATAATTTTCGTAGTTGTCGCCTGGTCGTGACAATTCGGACACAGATATGGAACCTCCAATGCAATCTGTTGGACAGGATTGCGAGGCTACTCCTCCATTGTTACGGCACCATCATCCAGGTGGTGGCAGCAGGCAAACTTTAGCTCAGAATAATTATTATAGTTCTGGACCTGGAGATGGCCAAAACACTAGACAGATGCAACAGGCAAGACAATATGCGCCGCCAGCTGTTGTTCGACACAGTCCTCATGCCCGAAGGTCTGTTATTTTCTTTTATTTAGGAGCAATAATAATGCACATTTCATGCAGTAAAATAATCCAGAGAGATGAAAAATTTAACAATTTGCTTTTGGTGGACATTTTGAATATACATAATTTTATATATCCACATAGTTTGCATAATATGATTTTCACTTAAATTTTAGAGCAATATAAACAAATGACTAAATTTGATAATAAATAAGAAGGATCTTCTGTAAGTCAAAAATTTCAATTTCTCAGCAAGGATGTTTCTTAAAGAACTTTTATATTGCACAATGTAGATCAGCTGATGGCGGTCGAGCTTATCCAACAGATGTGACTTCACCTTCAGAGCAGCAAAGAGAAACTGTCTCTTCAACCCAACAAAGAATGCGAGCACTTGGTGTTGCAACGCCATTAACATTATCAAGTCCAATGAGGAGGTGAAAAATATTTTATTACTATTATAATTTCTTAATACATATAGAGAAGTGGTATTTTGACTGAATGGAATACTGATAAATAAGAAGATTCATATCTACTAAGAGCTTCTTTCATAAAATTCTATTTTATTGACATTGGCATTTTAAAGGTATTACAGTGTGGGAATTAAATTAATGTTATTTTCTATATAAACAACTTATTCTTAATTTGAATTTATATGTTTGAAATTGTTTTTGTATTATTATTTTCTTCTGATTTTCACTCTTACAATAACTTCAAATTGCCTAAAAATGCACTCGAGAGCTCGAAAATTAAACTTAAACTATGATTTTAAAAGAATAATGTTAATTATAGATCAAATCCTGGAACACCAACAACTCCAAGGCGGCCAGATTTTATAGGTGTGGGACAACAGCCAGGGCAAATGGTGATGAGCCAGAATTATCCACATATGCAGCAACAAGCACCTCCATATTATGATTTCCCAAACCATCATCAAACTAATACTGGACAAATTGTAAATCGAAATGGACCTGGTGGTAGTCCACAACGACGCTTCTTATCTGAAGGAGAATTGGTACGAGCTAATAATGAACTTTCCTATGCTCGCACAAACAATACAACGGACAATATAAGAGAACTAGCTGGTAGTCCACAACGTGGAGTTTATATGTGGAAAGAGGCGACGTCGCCTTCTGGAACTAACATGGCATATCCTGGGCAAGCTCAGCACCATCAACCTCAACATAAAAATCAGTTTGAATATTACAGATCTAATCCCACAAGCCCAGTCCAACAGCAACCTTCTTATCATCCTGCTCTTAGAGGAGGAGTTCCAGTCTTTCCTCCTTCACCACAGGTGAAAAGAAAGCCAGGTGCAAATGGTGGGGCAGGAAACACTAATACCGCTCCAACACCAGGCAGTAGAAGGCCTGTTAGTTTTGTTAGGGCTTTGGAAATGGCAGATTCTATAGAAATGGCAGATAGTGCACCTAGTTCTACTAATAATCAAGCAGCTACTGATAATCGAGCTAGTGTTTATGATATGAATTATGAAATATCAGTATAGGGACAAAGAAGGCACGACGCTGTGCTCAAATCATAAGTGCTACTCAATTTTTTGGGGTTTTTCAAAACTGACCTCACTATTGCCATCGAATTATTTAGTGAGGATATCATTATTTTTGTAAATATTATTTTTATTGGTTTTAGTTTATGTTGAAACATATCTATGAAATATGTTCGATATAAATAAGTGTGATTTTTATTATTAAGATGACATACAATTATAAACAGTGTATGAATTTTTTTAAAACATAAATTTTGTGAATATATTTTGTATATATAGAAGTATATTTCGTATAATTAAAAATATTTAAAGATAAAAAATGATAGTGGAAATGAATTAAGTCAAAATAAGTTTGAGTCAAATAAAAAATGTGATTTCTAAATGAGGGATTGTGAATGTAGTTTTACATGTGATGAGAGTGAATAATTTATAACTATGAAAAAGTGATGGCAAGCTGATTTGAAAAAATGTAATTGTAACGAAAGTATTGGATATGGCAACAAATTTTAATCAAGGAAAAACTATTATATAATTAATTTATATACATTAACAGTTATAGTGCAATAAACATATCTATATTGTATTTTTAAGTTGATTAATCATGTGTACATAAATAACCTAAGTCACACTAAAGTTTGAGTGTCTGCTTTATGCATTTATTTATTTTAATAATTTGTTATTTAAAGTTTATAATATTGGTCTATTGTCAGCTGTGTTTTATGTTATACAGCTGTAATAATTTATCTTAATATCAAAATTTATCTTTGGCATTAAGATTAATGAACTCTAGAACGTAATTTTCTGATCTAAATAATGTGTTCATTGATGTTTGCAGATTGATATAATATTTCCAATCAATTAGAATTTTTAAATTTATATAAGCACATGAAATAATTTTAAAGGGGTATAGAAGGGAGTCTAGTCAAGTTTACAAATGGTTTTTGGGGGTTTGATTTTAGTTTATAATTAATACAACACAGTAACCTTTGCAATTGTTATGTATGAGGTCTTAGGATGATATATTCTAAAAAGTTGATATTGTAGAAATTCTGTACATATTTCAATATCCTACATTAACTTGTTTCCCATCTACAGGTATTTTCTACATGATATAAAGAATATTTGGAAAACAAACACAAGTATATATATATATATATATATTTATTTATTTGTATGCAATTATATATAATTTCATCCACATTTAAAAAATGATTGTATTTTTTGTTTATTGCATCTTAAATTAAGTTTGAAATTTAAATGTGAGAAGTTGTAATTTTTCTTTATATATTATATCTTTATGTATATGAATTAAAAATATTTTCATATTATGTATACTCCACAAAAAATATTCTATATTTCTATGTGGTAAAAATAACGAAATTTAAAAATAAAAGATATTGATTGAACACTTGCCTGAAATATTTTAGATTGCCTGGTGTATTTAATTTAGTTTCATACTATGAATTTTGATTTTTCATACAATGGAGAAATTATTGACTATTTTATATGTAATATAATTTTTTGTTCCATAATGTTATTGAACCTGTATTTGGTTGTATATTTGTTATTATCTATGGTTATTGTCATTTGTAATGGTATTTATAACCTGAAATACCTCATTTCATTAGAGATAATAAGTTTTTAATAATACCCTTTTATTGAATAAGCCCTAGTGAGTGTTAATTGTTTGAGTGCCACTAATTTGAAATAAACAAAATAATTTAATAAATAAATGTTTATATTATACTGTGTAGTTTATTTTCATTTAAAATTGTCGACATGGGGAAAAGATGGATGGAATGTAAAATATTCAAATCATTTTCCTTGTAAGTATTTTAAATACATATTTGTAAATCTATTAAAAATGTATTGTCATATACAACTAGCATAAAAATTTATAACATTTTGTAACAATCCGAAAAACAACAATGATTTATGTATAGATATGAATATATAAGTCTGTACCTATTGGCATTGTCAAACGTTCACTTGACATTTCCTGAAAGTTATGATTTTATTAATTTAAAAACAAAAGGACAAAAAATGTAAAATAAATTACCTTCATAAATATAACAACAGAAAAGTATGAATTTATAGAATATTTAATAATTTAAAGAATTTTTATATTATTTAACTAAACAAACATATATATTTTAACACATATAAGAATTTACTAGCGTCTTTAATATGTTATGGGGGTGATGTAAAATTTTGTATTATATTTCTGTATATTTAGTAAACAAACATCCTCAGTCAATAACTGCTTTACACGTTTTTGAGCATTGAAGACGTTATATTTTCTAGATTTACAATTGTACAATTAATTGAGTGTTCTCATCAAGTCTGAAAGAAACATTAAAAACTTCCCGTAGGGCAAGTTATAGTAATCACAAAAAAATCGAAAATGAAAATTTTTATATATCTTTAGGTGTGTGTGATACAAATTTTCGTCGACGATTTCGGGAATACTGATCAACCGATTTAAATAATTCAAAAAACATTCCATTCGTACTAATAAGGAGACGTGCTGATTAGTTTTTGGCAGGGGCAGGTCTAGCCGTTCCGAAGATACGGAGCAAAAAGTGCCAAAAACGGTAACACGGTTTTTAAGAGAACGTAGCGTCCGATTTTAAAGATTCAGAAAACATTTTACTTGTATTAACAAGATGAAGAACTGATCAAATTTTCATAAAGGCAGGTCTAGCGGTTTCGGAGATTTAGTAAAAAAAGTAAAAAAAAATATTGCCATTTGGCGGTCAAAAATGATCATTAGACATATGCACATCAAATAATTAGTTTATAGAGATTTTAACAATATTTTGTTTACATTTCTATGGGCTCCGTACCAATGTTTATCTGTTAGACAGCGACGCAACGCTTACGCGCTTTGATATTTCGTCTCTATGCAGTTAAAGCAGTACGATTGCTTTGAAAAAAGTTCAGAATTTCCAAAATATTTCAAAATATTTTTTTTCAGTCTTTTTTTTTTCGAAAAAAGCAAATGTTTGTCAAAAATTTATAGTTTCTCAAAAATATAATTTTTTCAGAGTAATTTTTTTTTCAGAAATGTTAATCTTTTTAAAAACAAAAAATTTTTGGTACCGTAAGTTCCAGCAATTTGCCTTAAGGCACGATGCCATGCGCCCCACTAGTCTAGAAGATATTTTTAATTATTGTAATAGTCCAGTAATCGAAATTGAAAATTTTTACATTTCTTCACGTTTTGAAGGTTTCTGAACATTTTGGCATACCTACATCAGAAAAAATGAATGTGTGTGTGTGTGCTGGATACAATTTTTCGTCCACGTTTTCGGGCGCACGGATCAACCGATTTGAATGGTTCAGAAAACATTCGATTTTTATTGATAGGGAGATTTCCTGGTTAGTTTTTGGCAAAGGCAGGTCCAGCCGTTTCGGAGATACGGAGCAAAAAGTGCAGAAAATAGAAATTAAGTTTTTGAGAGAACGGAGCATCCGATTTGAATGATCCAAAAAACATTCAATTTGTAATGACGGTGAGAAGTGGTGATTAGTTTTTGGCAAAGACAAGTCAAGCCGTTTTGGAGATACTGAGCTAAATGTGCAAGAAATGGCAGTTTTTGAGAAAACTAAATATCCGATTTGAATGATTCAAAAAACTTTCTGCTTGTGTTGACGAAACGATTGCTCTTGGGAAAAGAAAATAAATCAATTTTTGCGAGTGGTGAACCGACAGTGCGGGACACATATAATATACGCTATTAGAGCTGGAATAGAATAGATCCTGACTAGACCTGCTTTTGCCAAAAACTAATCAGCACATTTCCCTATCAATAGAAATCGAATGTTTTTTGAACCGTTCAAATCAGTTAATCCGTGCGTCCGAAGACATGGACAAAAAATTTTCTGAGATAAGCCAAAATGTTCAGAAACCTTCAAAACGTGAAGATGTGCAAAAAATTTCATTTTCGATTTTTGGACTTCTCGTAGGGTAAGTTATTGTAATCGTTCAAGCAATTTTAATTAAAATTACTTAAAAAACAAAAAGGCTGAAAAACTATAAAATATACTTTTCATCAAAACCAAACGTATATGCAAGATAGACCAAAACTCATTGAAGATCACTTTACTTAATGGTATAATAAATTTTATTACTTATATCCGATGTGTTATGATGTTCAGCATCATTTTCAATATGTTTAAAAGTTAGTAACTGGTCAGCACAAGTTAGTCAATAATTTTTCGATACTAATTTAAAATTCGATACTTTAACTCTAAAAATAATAATAATAATGTATTTTCTGCAAAAGCAACTGCATGCTGTATTTTATGTATTTTAGGTAATTAATGATAATTCTATTCTTATAAAAATATACAGTATTTACAATGATTAATGTACTATTTCATGCGCATAATGTAGATGTTTACTTGTTAACGGGTAAATTGTTATTGTTTTTGTATTTGATTCGAAATCGAGTTCGGTTGATCACACTTCCCAAACTATAAACATACATACATACATCGCCCATGATTCATGTATTTGTTTATTGCAAACACTGAAGAAGTATTTTATAACAATACTTCTAATTCGGATGTTAAACAGTTTTTACTGTTTTTATGGGGTTTAAAATTTATTTCAAATTATTTTAGCCAATTATTTTAATTATTCATTACGATTGTTTGGAATAATACATGTGCAAATTTTAAATATCATTTGTTAACAAATAAAAGTTTATTGTCCGTATATGGTGAAGATCAGTTTTTACTTATTGCTCTTATTGTTACTTTTCAAATAATTCATACTTAAAGGGTATGGGCGCATTGCCATACAGAATCGGCCCCACCCTGGTATTTAAATAATTTATACGCCATTTTATAGGTCTAAATGATAAAAACCGATATACCAATTTTCAACTTTGTATCTCATCTTATGGCCGAGATATCATTGAAAATATGTGAAAGTGGCCCTTTTTTCAAACTCACTTTTTGACGTAACCATAAAAGATATCAAAAAAAAATTACGTGGTTCTATTCATATTGGCTTAGGCCACATAATGTAGAACAATCGATGCCAAATAATTAATTATTATTAGCTGAAAAAGATAAAATAATTTTTCAATTGATGTTTTCCGGTAGTGCGTTTA